ATTATTATTATAATTATTAAGTTTTAGTAGTTTTGGTACTTATGTACCAATGTGGTATATATATTTATGTATATGCGTGTGTTTATATATATTAATTGTTAAATATTACACAATCAAATTACGTTGTTGCACGAGCCCAGAAATCTGCGGAGATAAATAGACTTCAATGGAAATAGCTGTAACGGTTAAATGTATATCAATTACAAATCTTACCTAAATTATGTTATATACATKTGTGTGTGTGTGCGCTTGTGTGTATATACGATATTGCAAATACATAAGATCTTCAGTCCCACTGTCTAGACGGACGTCAGGCTAGGGGAGATTTATAAATCATTTACTGTACATGCGCATGGACTATTTTGAGTGAGTGTACCTCTTGAAGAGCGGCTTGAACATGTTGTCCGCCGTCCGCTGCAGATGGGGCGAGGAGGAGCTGCTGCTGGCGCTGCTGTTGCCGCTGCTGTAGTCGTCCCTGTTGTGGCTGGCAGGGTATTCGTAGTCGTTGAGGCGCGTGGAGAAATTCATGGGATAGCCGCAGCCGGGATTGCTGTAGGCGGCATTACTGCTGCGACAGGTAGCGGTCATAGGGATTTGCGAAGCGGTAGGCAGCAGGCTCAAAGCTCCGCTCAGCACCTTCATATTCGGCGGAGTTTGGGGTGGAGTATCGGGTTGGGCTTCGGGAAACCCCATCGCCATCGCCCGCTGACTCGCTGTGGACTGAGATGGCTGCGACTGACGCACCGCTGGGTAGGGCCCCGATCCCGGCGACTCGGCCAGGCCCAGGCCCAGCCCCAGGCCCAATCTCATGGCCTCGCTCGGACTTGGGTTTGCCGTAGTAGGGATGGTAGGCGTATGTGTGCCGTTGGAGCTGCTGCTGCTGTGCAGGCCACTGGGACTGTACGGGTCTGCACTGTTCGTGCTCGTAGTATGAAGCTGCTGCGTCGTAGCCCCTAGAAAACCCCCGTAGGCCGTGGTATGCGCCCTGACATAGGGCGTGCCGTTGAACAAGTGGCTGCCCATTGCCAGAGGCTGTTGCTCCATCTGCAGCTGCTGCTGCTGTTGGTGCTGCTGCTGCTGTTGGTGCTGGTGCACCTGGGAGGTAGCCATGCCCTGGCCCTCCTGTTGGGACTGCGGATGCAGATGACGCTGCATAGACTGCTGCTGCTGCTGCTGCTGCTGCTGTGGCATCATTTGCCCGGGGCCCATGCATGCCGGTGGCGGGGTTTTGCAGGCAACTGTGTCGGCCAAGCTCCAGATTTTGGGCTTCGTAGCTGGAATCGGCACGCCACAGTCCCGGCCTAGCTGGTTTTTTGGATCGCTATGCTCGCTGTGCTTGCTGGCCATGCCCAGGCCGCCCTCACCCGCATGGAAGGCAGCCGGCAGCACCGTCTGTTGCGGCTGATAGTAGGCGGGATGCTGATGGTGATGATGATACGGATTATACGCAGCCGGATGACTGCTTCCGCTGCCGCCATGATAGCCACCCGATGGATAGCCGAAGCCAGCACGCAAAATGTTCGCCTGGCCAAGACTCTTTTGGTCCTCGTCGATGAGGTCCTCCTCATCCTTGGCCACATCTGCAAAAGGGGAGAGAGAGGGAAAGAAAAGCAAAGCTCAGCTACAATTGCCTGGAATACCTGTGCAATCGACTACCTTTGGCCAAGCTGCCGCCATGCGAGTCCTTGCTGGACTCCACATCATCCTTGTCCTTCTCATCATCCGACACGAGCGCATCGTCATCGTCATCCGTGCGATTCTTTGGCTCCCAGGTCATCTTGTTCTCCTTCTTGAGGCGACGACGCGCGTTCGCGAACCAAGTCGAGACCTGAGTCAGCGTCATCTTTGTGATGATCGCCAGCATGATCTTCTCGCCCTTGGTGGGATATGGATTCTTCTTGTGCTCGTTCAGCCACGCCTTCAGCGTGGCCGTCGATTCGCGTGTGGCATTCTTCCGGCGTGCAGCCAAATCGTAGCTGGCTCCATAGCTGATAGAGGGAGTAAAAGAGAGAGAGAGAGAGAAACTGGTTAGTGTAATGGTCAAGGCATGTATTTTTTTCTATTACACTGCGCTACAGCGAGCAAACATGAAAATTCATTAAAAATGCGAACAATTTAAATTGATGCTTTCATATGCAGAGCTAGAGCTCTGTACCACCCACAGATGCCACACCTCCAGTGTAGTACAACGTCAAAATATTGTAAAACATAGTTGTGAAACAGCGCACAACAACAACAGCAGCAATGAGAACAACACTCAACAATAACGAGGACGACAACGCCATAAGCGTATGGTCAACTTTTTGGGTTTGGGTATGCAACTGGGAAACCGAGTCGGATGCAGAAGCTGGAGCAGGAGTAGGAGCGGGAGCAGCAGCAGCAGTAACAGGAGCTGGAGTTACTAGTCCGAGCCGAGCCGAGCCGGAGCCCAGTTATTGCGTTTGCATTTTTATCCAGCTCGCCTTCACCCACATCTGCCCTGGTCCAAAGCTCTGCTAGCTAAATTAAGCCACCCCCAGCCATGCGTATATCCAGCTGCAACTCATCTGTGCAACAGCTCCCCAGAGAGCCGACAGCAGTTGCTTTTTTTCTCCCTTTCTCCCTTTCAGACTCCTTTTTTTTTAATTTTTCATGGGATTTTTATGGTGCCGCAGAATCAACAGTTTGTGCGGTGAATTTTACAACAAGATAAAGAAGGAAACTGTGCTGCCAGCCTCGGAAGCTGCTGTGGACTCGTTGGTGTCGTTGTCCTGCCCCCATTTCCATCCAGCGCATCCTTTACTGGTTTTCACATTTTTATTCTCGCTTTTTCCTTTTGCGGTAAGCTGAATCTAACAAAAAACCAACAACAACAAAACAAAAAGAAGAAACGCGTCGTGGCTGAAGAAATGTGCACGATTTTTATGCAGCGTCGAAGTTGATGTTTGAGTTTTTGCTATTATTGTCTGGCACAAGGACGTTGGGCACTCACAAATTTGTTCGCTCACAGTGCGGCTCGTAAGTAAGTTGCCCGTCAGCTCGTCTGCCTGCCTGCCCGCCCCAGTCTAAAGTCTGCGAAAAGGATGTAAATGCTGGCGCTTAAAGCTATCGATTTGCCAAACTTAACCAAAGAGACAAATTCAATCCTATTAAATTTTGTTAAAAAGCTTTTGTAAAAGTTTTGCAACTATGTAAAAAGGATAATGCATTGCGAGGGGGACGTAAATCTGCTTTGTTAATGGTTAGAGAAATATACATATATTGAGTATGATATAGTGTATGTCTCTTTAAGCTTATGCCTCAATTGTTTCTCTTTTGATGGATATCTCTTTTGATTTCTGGTCTATATGAAGCAATGATATTAACAACTCTCTCAACATCGTTTTATCATAGCTTGCATTAGAAAAGTTCTCAAGAATTAAAGATGATGCATTATTTTCCTAAGCAATTTATAATATAATTTATAATTATATTAGGAAGTTTCTGATAATAAGATTGATGATATATAAGTATGATGAAAAAATATTATAGGAATTTTTTCAGCATCCTTATGCTATAAGTTCTATTAGCACAGCTTTCTTTTTCACAAAGAATTATAGATTCTGGATAGCAATATTCGATGTATCCAAATATAGATATGATCTATGGTCTATTCATACATTATTCAGCTTCAGAAGTCAACAGATTAGCTCTATTATGTAAATGATTTTAGCTACACAAAAAACGGCTATTTGTAGCTATTGAGCTTCGATGAATTCTGTTTCAAATAAAATAGCATATAACAGTTCCACTACGAGCTTTATATGTCTAGCAGACTATGTCCAGAATAGAATTGTTAAAACACGAAATAAAATGTAAGAAATTAAATTAACGCGCAATAAAAATAAAGAAATTAGCAAAAACAAATGGGCGAAAGGTGGAATGTGAAATGTGGCGCTATCCGCATATACCTATACATATATATGCTGTATATACTATGCGATACCATGCTATACTATATCATACAAGTAAACACCATGTTTGTATATATACGACCCATAAAGACTCCCAACAAATCAGGAATATTATAATCGGCTTTCGACAACAAAACGAACAAGCATGCTAAATATAGCTTGCGCACCTGTGCAAGGTATTTAATAGTCGTTGTAAAGTTTTTGTTTTATTATTTGACTTTTTTCTTGTTATTTGTTGTATTCATGTTGTTTTTATTGCATTTGCAATTTGCTTAAGCATCTTATGAACGTTAAAAACAAATGTTACGATTTCTGTAATTTGGTGCACGAAAGCTGAGCGAGCGAACATCGCAGTTGGCGATTAGTTCCCGCCGTATTATTATCGCGTAGGCTGACCGTAACCGGCGGATGCAGCCGCATGCCGGTGTATATGTATGTATCTGTGTGCGAGTGTGTGTGTGTGTGTGTGTATTTGTATTTGTTTAGTGCGCTTTTGTTCTCTAATGTTTTACAATTTGACGAGCACAAGCGTTCATTTGTTGCTAATTGCCACGCATTCTATTTTTGCACTGAATGGGTGTATGCATGTGTGTGTGCGTGCTAGTGTGTGTGTGTGTTTGCTTGTGGCTGGCTTTTAAGCCAGAGTCTGCGAGCTCGGCCGCTGCCCATAATCTTGTTAACAAATCGAATTCTTGTTCACACACAAACAAAAACCAAAACACAAAAAAAAAAAAAAACAATAACAGCCACGTTGCCTACGTTTTTTTTTTTTTAAATAAATATATATCTAAAATATAATTTGTATATATATGTTTGCGTTTGTGTGTGTGTACATGCAATTTAATTTTAGTTGGCAATTATAATTACATGTTGTTGTTGTTGTTGTTGTTGTTATTATCTGTGAGTAGCAATTTACAGCAATGAACACACATTTTAAACAAATAATGCCAGGCACGACAAGTGACATTGGCTCCAAATGGACGCGCGGCAGAGCACTTTATGCCCAACCACCCACACACAGACGCACGCACTCACTCACTCTCTCCATTAATCTCTCCCTCTCTCTCTCTCTCTCTCTCTCACACTCTTTGGCCACAGCCCGTTCTTCTTTTAAATGTCTGTCAAACGTGTGCACTCTCGCTCAATATGGCGGCCAACATGGCGTTCATTTACTCACACCTAGCGCTGCCTTCACTCAGCCAGAGTCAGAGCCAGAGCCAGAGCCAGAGCCAGAGCCGTAGCCATAGTCAAAGCCCAGACCCGGTCCCCAGTCTCAGCCTCAGCCAGAGTCAGAGTCTCAGTTGCAGTCGCCGTCGCCGTCGTCGCCGCAGTCGACGTCTCATACCCTGTTGCAGCTCAGCTTTCATGAGCTTTACGCACGCAACGTTCGTGGGGCAAGCGCGACGGCAGTTGCAGTTGCAGTTGCAGTTGCATGTCCGTTGACTGTCCGCTGCAACGTATCCGTGTCAATATTCTGCTGCTGCTGCTGCCGCTGCTGCTGGTGCGTGTGCCTTACACACACTTATATATATACATAAACCCACACACACACACACACACACACAGCTCACTGTGGCGTGCAATTAACTGCGATTATTTTCGCCGCAATCATAAATAAATAATTTCGCGCGCTCTAGCAATTTTCACAATTCAAATTTTATTATCGCCTCTGTCTGGCTGGCTGGCTAGCTGGCTGGTCAGACTCTGTCCCTGTCCCTCTCGCTCACCCTGTCGCTGGCCCTTTCGCTGTCTGTCCCCAGCGACGCGCAATTAAATTCAAATCAATTTGAAGTACTCGCAAATATATTTAACAATTAATTATGGGCGCACAATTGCTTTTGATTTGCCCCAGCTCTAGCACCCAGCACAATCATTTATATAACACATACATATGTACATCTATGTGCATATATGGTAAACAGTTCCATAACTTACCCATATGCCGACATGGGATCGTAGGAGTAATAGCCCGTTGTGGGCTGCAGACCAGCCGAGGTCCAGGCGCCCATTTCAGTGCCAGCTGCCGAGTCCTTTAAGCCATAGGGATTGCTCTGCAATGATTGATGCAAAGGATGAATTATGCTGATTTGACTGAATAGAATGCAGATTTTAAATAATGCATATCTAAAATGTTTCTTTAGATAACAAACTTTGATCCTCATTTTATTATATTCAGTCAATCAAGTATTGATTGATGGCAGTCATTTAACTAGAGTGAAATCAAATGATACTTAAATGTAAAATTTTCCTATTCTATTCTTAATTCAATAAAAAATCTCCTACTCAAATTTCAAATGTTTTGGTTTATCCTTTCGAGCTGTAAATCACTGCTTCAATCAATTTTTTAATTGATTGAGGTTATATGCACCACTTACGCTCTTTCTTCTAGTCTCAAATGCCCAAACACCCCATGAATTATTTTATTTTTCTTTTGCCATAGAGAAGCTACTGCCCAAATGGAAACTGGTTAGCCCCAACCCCTAATCAAAGTTCATACATCATGGCTTCAATCAATTGCTTGATTGATTGTAATCACTGCACACATTTAAACATTTGCTAAATACAGTTAAGACAACAAATTTACAAAACAAAATTTAATTCGAATTATTTATTTTATAAATTTTGTTTGTYTGTTGTCTATTCGACCTTAGACATAAGGCATAGGAGCAACGAACAAAATGATTTTCCCACAGTATCCACAAAAAAAGTTGACGATTTTGTTAACATGGAATTTATAATTTGGCAACATATTTTGCCATGAAACAAGCGTGCGCTGACGTTGACCATATTTTATAGCCAGACAGTATGATGTGTATCCAAAAACATAATTTAGACCAACAACTCAAACAGAAACAGAAACATAGATAGAAACCGAAACAGAAATCGACAAAAATAAGCTGGAACTGCGATTATTGTCGTTATGAGGTTCGAACACTCTTAATTTTAATATTGGAAGCGTATGGCCGCCATATGACCTTATAGATGGCTTTTTTTTTTTTTTTTTTTGGCGATTTATGAGCGACAACTATTGGTCACAGATCCATAGATCGGGGGCCAGATGGGCAGCTGAGCCCGCTGGGTTGGGAGTCTGGCGGCGAATCTGGTTGGCCGAGCCGACTTGACTTTTGTTTAGCCTCTTGATTTATGAAATGGCATTAACATTTTTAATTGCTTAACATCATGTATGCCATTGTTTATTAATTTTTTAACTCACCTTTTGCCGACGCCGACGCTGACGCCGATGCCGATGCCGACAGAGTGACAAATATATTTATCGAAATGTCATTCGATCGAAATATATATATTTATATAAATATATAAATGAGTTGGAAAACAGGGAAACAGGTATCGGATATGATATCGTTGACTCTCTATCTACATGCCCTGCGCGTTTCATATCAAACGAAGGCCGACCAAAAAACATGAACTCTGATTTACGAGATTGTCTGCCAGCTGCCTCGGCTCATTGCCTCTGCTCGCTGTATTGTGTGAGCAACAGTTAAATGTCAGCAGATCTTTCACACTCCGTACTATCTATGAGTAGAACCAATTTCTAACTGCCCCACCCTCCCACCGCTCGCCTCCTGCCTGGGGCGGTGGCCTCCCTCGACTTCTTATCGCGCGCTGAATGTGCGAACGCGCAGCCAATGATATTTTCTTAATTAAAAGAGAACTCGGATAAGAGCGCGGCCAGCGCTCAGGTGCATATGCCAGGTGACAGCCAGGTAAAGGCAGAGGTAGAGGCAGAGACAAGAGCGCAGAAAGGGGAACGGCCACGATTCACTTTGAATTTCCTGTTCTTGTAAATAACAATTTAACATGACACATTGGTAGCTGCTTATTTGGTATCACGCAGAAGACTTCTCCCTTGCGCACTCAGTTTCTCACTTTTTACTTAACTCGTTTTTTCTCTTTTTAGGGGGGGGGGGGGAGAATTACATAAAAGTCTTGTTTGGGCATTATTAAGTTAACAATTGGGCCAACGCATGGGTATGTCTGGAGACTGAAATTTCAAAGAATTTCAGTTTACAAACAGAAGTTTACTGGAAATTGAAAGAAAGAGAAACTCTAACCCCAAAGTTTTTGTACATTAATGTAACTAAATTGTTGACTATAATATATGGAATATATATGTATTTAAGTATATATGAAACCAGCTTGAACCTATATTGATAACAGCTTACAGACTATGCAAACTCAATTTAAAGAAATTCTTCATCTACAACCTTCCTAATCGTAACTAAATCCGAAATAACAAAAGACTTTCAGCCAATGCTTCAAATGAAATTTATGTTCAAAATGAAAAGCCCTCTTCCGAATGGAAAACCCTTTTCAATATTCACATTTGATTTTCAATAAAGTAAACAATATTAAAATCTATATAGCTCTCGGCTTTATTTAGAGACGGCGAGCTAACTGATTGGCCTATTAATTGGTAGCTTGTAGTTCGCTACAAAGGCTAAATATTTATGTTGTTTGTTTGGGCTGTCCACAGCTGAATGTGCATGCCTGTCTACAGCTCCAGCTCCAGCTACAGCTCCAGCTCCCTCTTGAAGCTCGAGTATGTCATCTAGTATGTCATTTAAAACTGTGTGCATGTTGGCCGTGTACATTTCTGTGGTCACTTAGAAAATACAAAGGGCACACATACACACACACACACACATACATACACACACACTCTCTCATGTGAATGAGATGCATACAAAAGCATAAGCTCGATTAGCCCACACATACAAATGCATGGCGAGCTTCATCTGGGAGTGTAATTGAGGCCATGGGGCAATATGTTTTGTTTCCAATGATTTTGCCTTTCGTTGCGCAAAGTATCGAATATCACAATGGTAGTCAGCACAAGAGAAAGAGACAGCCACAGCAACAGAGAAACAGAGCCATAGAGTGGAAGAGAGGGAGCGGGAAAGGGAGAGAGGAATAAACTCCGATACAAGCTGCAGCAGCGACTAAATGAGGTTTGACTGAGCTTCAGTCAGCCATAATGATAATTCGATTTACTCGACTACATTGACAAGCCGTTGTCCCTATATATACCCTTTCCCTTGAACTCGAACTGCGACTCGTCTACGTCCATGGCCCGACTGCTTTGTTTTAGGTCTTTGGCAACGTCTGCCCGCTGACTACACAATTAAAGTCATATGTGGAGATAATCCATTTAGCCGTCTTGGCTTTCACTTACCAGCGGCGAGTAGAAGGCGGAGCTGTCTACGCCGATGCTCTGGTAGGGGTTCTGATCCGTCGATGGATATGGCGAGCCATAGACCCCGACGCTGGCCGCCGGCAGGCGCGAATAGCTGGATAGCGCCAGCCGTGCTGAGTCGTATTGACAGGAGCAGACCGTCTGGCCAGAGACCGGATCGGTCATAATGGGACGGCCGTTCTCGCAGCAGGAGCTGCCCGTTGTAGGCGTTGTGCCCACAGCGCTGCTGTCCAGGGAGCCACCGGTGATCGCATCGGGGCCAGCGACAGTGCCAGCCACAGCTGATCCCGTGGCCGCATTTGAGTTCTGCGAAAGCGCATCGGGACTTAGAGCGCCCGTTGAGGCATCGCCTCCTCCTCCTCCTCCTCCTCCAGCTCCAGTGCCAGACCCAGGACCACCGCCTCCGCCTCCGCCACCACCACCCGACTGCTGCTGGCTCGCCTGGCAGTCGGCACCACCCGTGGGGCTCAGAGCCGGCGCGTTTGTCATCACCAATGAAGATGCATTCACGTTCGCCGAGACATCTTCAGGTGTCTGCGTCACATTCGGCGGCAGGAGCTGCAAAATACCAAAAACGAAAAAACAGAGATTGCAAACATTGAGACGATTGACTGTGAGCATTGCAGAGCATGTGTGTGGAGACGTGCGTCCCATTATCTTTGCACCACTTAGTGTCAAGCGGGCAAGCGATCAGCTAAAGACTTCATTTAAAGTGGAAAAATTGTCACCCTCTTTAGATTCCCAATCTGATTCAGATGCATTAACAGATGTCCCAACTACCTGCTTAGATAATATTAATATAAACAACAGACTCAATTCACCCGCTTATCAACTACTTATGCGTGTCGAGTCGCCTTCAGCTGTTGTCCAGCTATCTTCGGCTGGCCACTGGTTTACATAATTAATGAATGTTTATCAAAGCCATTCCAACTTCATTCTCAATTCCAAACACAAATAGAAAACGCATTCAGATAAGCACCAAAGTCGTCAAAGACACTCGACTGTCTTAACAGCCCATTCTAAGCAGCTCAGCGTAGACCTAAGTGGTTTCTGTTAACTCCAGCCACTTGAACGTTATCGCCATATCACTTTCAGTTCAATTATTATAATTAAAAATATTAATTTTTTTGACATTTCCATGGATTACTATCAATATAACATATATTTGTTCTTGAACTAAAGAACATGCTGAACAAGTTTTAATTATGAGAGAAATACTATAGAATATAGGAGAGATATTTATTCTATGTTCTATATTCTATATTCTATGTTCTATATTCTATATTCTATATTCTATATTCTATATTCTATATTCTATATTCTATATTCTATATTCTATATTCTATATTCTATATTCTATATTCTATTTTCTATATTCTATATTCTATGTTCTATATTCTATGTTCTATATTCACTTCTTGGAAGGGGACATTCCAATTAGATTCGATTGGCTAATGGCTAATAAGAAATTGGCAATTCAGATACCAAACCAGTTCAGCTCGAAACCAGTTACTAATCCTACTATATATACTAAGCTGCATAGTTATGTCAAGAATTATTCCATGAAATTTCATTGGAGAACGAGTTAGGATGCTCTTACTCCAATAAACGCTTCCTGAAATACTTTTTGTTCTTCAACAACCTGACGAGAAGGCAATACCAGATCGGCTATTTACATATGTTCCCAGACCACTTGATGAATAGACATGATGTGGTCCACCTCAGCGAATTGCAGCAGAGTTCATAAATATGGATGGACGTATAATGAACGTGCTGGAACGTGTTGACTGAGCAGGAGGAGGAATCGAAGAAGGTAAGGAAGGCCGGTCGTAAGTTTAATTTGAAAAATCGACAGAAAGCCCCATTACACGATCGCACGATAACATATTGTAAGCGAATATGGTGTTAACACACAATCAGCGCCAGGGGCGATGCGCTACAGTACAGAAGCTGCAATTGTGGCTGAGTGATCTTATAATCCTGCAACCGATTAATCTGTCCGCCATGTTTGCCACATCGATGGCCGCCCATTGACGTATTGCTGTAACGTCGGCTACATCAATTACCCCAACGCAATCGATTTAAAGTGCAGCATCAGGAGTAGCAGCAGCAGCAGGAGTAGCAGGAGTAGCAGCAGCAGCTTGATGATGTTCACCATCTTGAAGCGTTACGCCAATGGCATGCGCCAGTCGCTTGGCCATGGCAATTAATATGCAAAATGCAAGCCAAGCCCTGGAACCCAGACCCCAGACCCCAGAACCCAAACCCCAGACAGAGACCCAAAGACCAGACAGCTCCGTTCAAGATGCCAGAAATCAATGAGGGTGTGGCAGGCAACGCTTGCAGGCCAAAACACCGAAGATGAAGAAGACGGGGCAGCTGTACACATCGAAATGCTTCTGAAAATTGCCGCGGGACAATCTGCGAAACGAGGCGAGCTTCAATATTTTGCCAGAGTGTTTTCGCAATATGCCGATAAACCTATAATTAACTCGAAATACTTTGCTGATGGACAGCTACAAATTGATCGAATGCCGTCCAGCGACTATCAGACTAGCCCAAAGGTCAGATACGACGTGCATACACACACACATATATACACACTGCCCGCTGCCGACTTCGGCTGGCTTACAGCTCCCGTCGTCGTTGTGGCCAAAGTCATAATTATCCTGGAATCATTAACATAATCTGTCGATTGTCTGCGATACGTGAACGGGCCGTGGCTGGGGCACTGAGGCCTAATTTTATAAGTATAGAGTCAAGGTAAGCTACATGAAATAGATTTCATCCTGATTTCATAAATTAATAGAAAATATTGTTGTTGCCAGCGAGCGAGATGAAATTGTGGCTGAGTCACGGAGCCAGAGCGGCGAGGTCGAGGCGAGGCGAGGCGAGGTCTGTCCGCATGTATCAAAGAACAACCATTAATCAAATTTCAACAAATGATTGATTCAATGTTATTTTTTTATGTCGCGCTTTTTAATTAGTGAAAAATACGCACAAAAAACCAAATGTGAATAAAACAGAAAGAGAGGGGCGAAGCAAAAAATTGGCAAAGACGATGATGGAGCGGAGCAAAGGACATTCGGGCCAATCCACTGGCCAGTTCCCAGGCAGACAGCGGGCGCTCTCTCACACACGGAATATATGAGAATTATGACAACTGATCTGATAGGCGACACCATATAGGGACTTCTATGCGAATGGGCAGATTCCGCATGCATTATGCATGAGTGCAGCGCATCCAATGGGCAGCAAGTTGACTGCGTAAAAAGGAAGCTGCAGCCGGAGCTGGAGCTGGAGCTGTGGTCGGGGCTGTCGCTGCTGCTCGAAGGAAGCGCCAGCTGAGACTCACTCTGTTGTGGACATGGACATGGACAACAACGACTCGCAAACCCCGTTCGCTCTGTCTCTCTCCCTCTCTCTCTATCTCTCTCTTTCGCGCGCGCGCACGCGGGCTGCCTGATCTGATAAGATCTCGGCGCGGCCTTGCTGCGCGGCCCATGTGTGTGCACTACCAATTTCTGTGAATCGCAAACTGCGCACAGAGCTCAATGATCTAATCTCGACTGTTGCATCTGCTGCTGCGTCTCCAGTGCGAGGCCAGTTTGCCTGCCTGCCTACCTGACTGCTCCTGCTCCTCCTCCTCCTCCGCCGCCGCCGCCGCTGCCGCCACCTCCTCCCACTTCTCCCACTCCTGCACTTCCGCAGATAACCAAGCTGATAGTGGAACTGCAAGCGCCACATGATGCGAAAGCCCGGCTCCACTCGGTAGCTACGAGCAATGGGAATGCAGCGCAATGTAAAGTAGATCACATCGTCGAGGCCCGCTTGTCGCCGAGTCGGTCGGCCGATCTGTCTGTCGATCGTTTGGCTCCGGCCACTCGATCGATGTTCGCCCGCCCGTCTGATGTCGGACCTCCGGTAGCCGCCACTGATGCCACTATCGGTGTGGCTGCATCTGTGCTGGGCCTCCTGCCTCCAGCTTCTGCCTCTGCCTCTGCATCTGCAGCATCTTCTCTGCTCTCATTGACTGCCTGCTCACGTACTCGTGAGCGCATGCGCAGGCGCATTCCCAGAGCCTGCTCTGAGCTGTCACTTTACGGTTATAAATTTTATGATTTACGATCGTTGCAATTGAATTTTATTGACTTTTCAACAGTTTCACATGCTCAACGCACTGACCACAGCGCCTGTGCGTGTGCGAGAGAGTGCAGCTGAGTGTGTGTGTGTGTGAGAAGATGCGTGTGAATGTATGGGAGTGTGCATCGGCTTGCCACCTCCCACTCTCACCTGGCCCCCTTTGATTAAGTTCCTAGCAACTACTGCACTTGACGTAGAAGGAAGTATTCTCTGAGAAAGAATCCTAACTATTAGAGTAGTAGATCATGGAAGAGAAGATCATATTTTAGGGCAATAATAATATCCAAAGCTGAAGTTTATCTCTAAGCTCTAACTTTGAAATTTCTTCAGATGAAATGAAATCTACCAACTAGTTTTTCCAATATATAAAACATAGCCTATCATACTTTTTCTATTAATTTTTCTGATATTACTATGGAAACACAATGAACCGGTTGTGAGTAGAGTATTGTATAGAAATTTGCATAAATTTCTATTAAGGCTGAATATATGAAAGTTCCAAAGAAAATGTATGAAGTATTTAGTTTATAGAAATTATAAAATAAAAAACATTTAGAAACCTACAAATTTTAAGAAAGTGTTGAGATCATAAAAGCTTATCACAGCTCCTTAAGAGCCTGTTATATCCCCTTCTTAATACATACATACATACCAAATACTTTATCTGCTAAACTGAAAGACATTGTGTAAAGACGACAATATATCTAAACTACTTCACCCCAAGTGTTGCCCACCTATTGCTTTAATTATTATTTAATTCATTTTTCGATTCATCAAATTTGTTAACCCACCTGTGAGGCCGACGGAAAACCGCCGTATCCAAATTGTGTATAGGCAGCCATTGCCAAAGAGCAGCTCAAGTTGAAGCTTCGTTAAGAGTTGTATTCGTTTATTGAGTTGTTTTGTTTTATTATTATGTTGTTTATAATTATTGGTATTAAACTTGATTGTTTATGTAGATAGCACTGCTGTTGTCTTTGCGCATCAATTCGTGTTTCAGTTCACCTCTTCGAGTTAGCTGTTCAATGTGACAATTTTACCGTTGGTTAACACACGCATAAACAAAATTCTAAACACGAGACTCAGTTGAACACAATGAAGGTGCGGGCGGGCGAGCGACCGAGCGACAGACCAGAATCAACATTGGGATTATTGAGCGTAGCAGCGACTGGCGACGACGACGACGACGACAACAATACCGACATAAACATAACCATAACAATTGCAACGCTTATCCGCATACAGACACAGACAGACGCACGGCTACACACGGCTACAGCTACAGCTACAGCTACTGCTACAGATACAGATGAACAGCCACTGGCACAGATACAGATACAAATTTCAGCTGCACGCAAACGCAAAACGCATACGCAAAAAACGAAACGGAGTCAGCGACAGCGACAGCGACGGCGACGGTGACAGCGACGGTTGCGCGCTCCAGATGTTCACCTATGTACGTTCGAACACGAACTGGTTGCGGATGGTTACTCACAACCGGCACGAGAGCTAATACGAATGCCGTTGCTCTGCGACTCAGTTCGCATACCGTTGCAATCTCGTTGTGCAGGGCCAGAGCGAGACGACGCTATACTCTCTCAGTGGCGCACTCCAACTAGAATGGAAATGCTGCTTAGGCCGACGCTGGAAGTGTGCGGCGACGCCCTCTGAGCTTTGCTACTGGCGGTGGTGGTGGTGTCGACTATATCGTTCCAGTGCACACACGCACACACAAACACTCGTATGCATGCTTTCGCCTTTCGCTTCTCCGCCTAAGCAAGGAGAGTAAACAAACAACCACACACACACACACGCACGCACACTCATACAGTTACAGCAGCTGGAAGTGCGCTGCGTTGCCCGCCAATCAGAGCGCGCCATTCGATTCGTGTATGACGTAGCCGCTTCTGTTCTTTAGCGCTTCCTGTGTCCCTCCATTGACAGGTGCGACTTTTATTAGCACCATGCCATTTGAGCCAAACAAAAGAAAGGAAAAACGAAATGGAAATACGACCATTAATTACTTCTTATTTTCACGCTTCCCATGGCAGGGGTAGTGTTTCATTTTGGGCACGCCCATTTGTTTTGTTTGGCTAGTCGGCTGTTTGTTTACCTTTCTGCCGAGCGACTCTATGCCGACTCTCATTCAATATGAACAACGATCGTGACGCAGCAACAACAACACCAAAATAATATACAAAAAACTAAGTTGGCCTATATTTTTGCTGAGATAAGTATTGTTTCAAACAGATAAGCAGCAAAAAGAGTTCTCAACTTTTAACTGTTGCTTAAAGTAGACACAAATTTATAAGTAATTAAAGTATATTCTAAAAGCATAAGAAAAAAATATAAAGTACACACAAATTTTTAAATAATTTTAGTATTTGTAAAAATATTTTTAAAGGTTCTTAAAAATAAAATTGAAATATGGATTAATATTTCCTAATGACAAATAATAAATATTGTTCTTAGAAATAAAAATTAAATAATATAGAATAGAGCAAAAATTAAAAGAAGAATTTAAAACTTAGTCCACAAATAATAATACGAAATTGTATTCAGATATAAATATTTCTTACTGAAGAGTGATATGGAAGCCAGTATTATATTTAAGAAATAATGATTATCCATTTATTGACAAATAATCTGTTAGCTTAAAGTAAAAAAGGTAATGATAAAAAAATGTTTCTACCATATAGAACTAGACATCACAAAATGCTTTACCTTCCAACTTTTCCGTTATATTATTCAATAAAAAAGTCATAAAACCAAAGTACTTTAGGTTTTAAAACTTAGCTAAGGTATTTTTAGAGCCTGCTAAGTAACGAAAAGCAGTTTTGATCACATTTCATATCAAACTTCAGTTGCAGTTAAGGAACTCTCAAAACTTTTTATACCAAATCAAATGCATCTAAAATTTTCATAAAATATGAAAAATGTTCCACTTAAATGCGCTAGCCCCAAAAGCATATACCAAATATATATGCACCTCAACATATATATTTATATACTTAAATGTATATGCGTATACATATATATAATTTAACGAGCTAGATTTTTTATAGTGGCAACACCCAGAGCGAAATAATAGAAAGACGTCACAGCGGGCGCATCAAGTGCGTATTCACTGTAATTTTTTTTTGTGGTCGCGCCGAGGTGCTGAAGCTTGTGTTTGGCAAACTTGTTTCTCTGTTTACTTTTTATGATAATGTCATAAAAGCGAATTAACCTATAAAACCGAAAAGTGTGCGCCTTACATGATGGAATTGCGACATAAGGTCTGGGCGTGTCCTTGCCAAAGCGAAAGATATATGGTTGTCAGAGAGAGGACGAGGGCGAGGGCGAGCGTCGAGCGTCGAGTGTGGGCTTAAAGCAGCAGCTGACCAAAACAAATGCAGGTTAACAAATTTAAAGGGATGCAAGAGAAAATCGCGAATGGGAGCAGCAGGAGGAAAATGAAAAGTGGCAGGCAGCAGCAGGAGGCGTTGCAGAAGCAGAAACAGGAAAAAGCAATAGAAGAAGAAGCAGGAGCTGAGCTGCAGGTGCAGGATCAGCAGGAGGTGAAGGGGAGGAGCAGAACAAGAGACGTAGGAGAAACTGCAGCAGCAGAGGTAAGAGTAAGAGCTACAGTTGTAGCAGGAGTAACAGAAAGTGCAGGAGCAAGGGCAGAGGGGAGCAGCAGCAGGAGTAGCTACATCAACATCATCTGCCAGGGCAAGGAGCAGGAGCAGCAGCGGCAGCAGGAGCGGCAGCGGCAGCGGGAGCGGGAGCAGTCAAAGCCACTTCAAAGTGTCCCTCTGGGGTGTTAAGTACAATATTTGCTCTGTTGCGCGCACTTTTTGCGAGTCAACTGCAATCAATCAATGGGTCGGACGTAACCGTCCAGCTGTGGACGGACCGATGGATGCTTGGGTTGGACGCTTGGAGTGGCAACCACATGGGGCGTTTCCATTTGCAACCGCCACACATTGACCACCCTCGGCGCTCAGTGCCATGCCCCAGAAGTAGTACGACACTCTTTCCCTTCCTTTCATACACTTTCTCTCCCCTCTCTCTCTCTCTCTCTCTCTCACTCTTTGTGCTTTTCTATCAATGCTCAGTGCTCTGGCCTTAGGCATATCTTATGCAATCGAGTTTTTTTGGCCCTTGCACAAGTATGAAATCAGTTGCCGCCACTTAAATCTATTTTGACAATTGAGCTGTCTGACAGCGTTCACTTTTCACGCATATAAATGTCAGCCAAATGCATCCCCTATCCACATACATACATGTATATACTCTGCCTTGCAGCCCTCTCTCTCTATCTCTCTCACTCTCTCTTTCGACCATTAGCTGGAACGCGCATTTTATGCTGTTTTAATTGCAACATCTGTCACTGCGGTTTATGCATATATCAATTTCAAAATAGCTGCCAAATGGCAACGGCAATGATTCGAACCCAAGCCCGAACCCAATCCCAGACCCAAACCCAGATTTGAACCCATGCCCATACAGAAAGTACCACCATGAAAAATGAATTATTTTTATTTTTATTATTTTCGCCTCGCAAACTCATGCGACAAAACTGTCACAACATTCGCTTCTGACACGACAGCCCAGCTGAAGACGAGGGCTGTGTGTGGCAGTGGCAGAGGCAGAGGAGCAGAGGCAGAGGCTGCGGCAGTAACTGTGGCAGCAACACTCAATGTGGCAGCAGCAGCAGCAGCTTGACAAGGAGGATGAGCCACGCACTATGCGAAAGCATTGTTTTTTGGCATTGTTGCAGTTGTTGTTGTTGTTGTTGTCATTGTCCGCATTGCCGACTTTAATGGATGTCAGAATACATAAAAATTGTCAAAGGGAAATATGGCGCTGTTACATAATTGATTTCCATTATAAAACAACAACAAAAATCACAAAAAAAAAAATAAAATAAAATAAAATTGTTTGCTCAAAAAATGATTTGACTGGTGTTTGGAGAGCAGCTTTTAGACTATTAAATAAAACATGGAAATTTATCATGTTTAGTTATAAATAACAAAGCATTGAGTTGGATTTATACTATATTTTTAGCTATAAATAAAAAGGCCTAGCAATATGTATGCTTTATATAGTTATGAATAAAAGATTGAGTTATTTTGATATATTCATACTCTTGAAAAATGTCTGTAATAATATTCTACTAGTAATAATAATATTATACCAGTAATTTCTTAATTTGTATAATTTGTCTTATTGCCTAACAATTTTCTAATATATTTATATTCTTGCAAATTAATGCTCTGTTTAAGAAGAATATGTCTAAGGTCCAGCACTCATATTTTAGCTTAACAAAATATATATAATAAATAAATAAAAATCCAATTGCAATAAATTGAAGCTATAAGAACTGTAACTCCATAAAAGCTCATAAGACCTTCAAGCCCATCAAAATATATTTAAGGCTGAGAAAGATCTGTGAAAACAAGTTAAGCCGTGCCAACAGATTTCGTTAGCTCAAATCGTTAGCTGAAGTGCCTCATCCTTGGCTGGAAGGCAAGTCATTATAATTGACAGCTTAATAGGCATATGATCGGGGCCTTTTCCGATTTCAATTGACAACACGAAATGTTAATGCAGTTAGCAAGTGCAAAACATTTAATGTATTTGCAGTTGGCAGACGCGTGTCGCGCGATGTAATTGCGAGCAGACTCTTAAGCGCCAGGGCAAACACAATGAGTGCCTTTGCGCGGGCTGAGAGGATAATGTTGAGCGGCTGCTCAGCAGCAGAGGATTGCCCAAATGAGTTTGTCAATCAAAATGCAAATGTCAGTGGAAAAGTGACATAATCCCACTTGGGAGCTGTGAGCTGAGAGCTCTGAGCTGTGAGCTGTGAGCTCAGAGCTGAGCTAAGCCAAACGAAACGAACCGAAATCCCGGTGCGAGTTAAAGCGTTTGACCGCAGCCGTCAGAGCGCAGTCGAGGGAGGGAATGCAACGGAAATAGCAACAGATGACGACGAGGATGACATTGATGTGTGAGCAGGAGAGAGAGAGAGAGACAGAGACAGGCATGACAGCCATTGAGAGCGAGCGAAACGGCTAGATGGGCGGTGGGTGGGGTTGTTAAATTGCAATAATCGGCTCTTGAGCTCAGCGAAAGCAGCGAACAACGTTTATGTTTTATGTGCTCATTTATAATGCGTGCTGCTCATTTGGTAATGGTTCGATAATGACACAAGTATAAGCAAAGAGAGCGAGAGAGAAAGAGAGAGAGAGAGAGAGAGAGAGTGAGAGTACTTAAAATGACAACCAAGCAATGCGTGGAAAACTGGACATCTGTTTGATAAAGCAAAATGTGTAGAGAGTGTGTGTGTGTGTGTGTCGAGTGTGTGGAGAGTATGTGCAGAGTTGCCCATTTGACAATAAATCTCAAACACTTGTGTAAGAGGAAACCTTTCTGACAGCTCTGCCGAGATCTGCAGCGGCAACCACGTCGATCAGCTTGCATGTAGCTTTAGGCGCCACTCGCCGGGGGTCAACAGGCGGCCGGAGGCAAAAAGAGACAAGAAGTTCAAATGGGAAAGAGGAAGCAGGCAAAACACAACTAGCCAGCCAGCCAGCCAGCCAGCCACGACTTCGATGTGACTGAAATAGATAGACACCGTCTGTGGACAGACCCGCAGACGGACGCAGTCAGTCTAAGTCGCCAGCAGAGAGAAAAAAGAGTCATAAAAGTGAATAAGCCCCATTCCCAATTGCCAATTATACTGCAAGCAGACCCCGCCATGACAAGACAAACGTTGCCAGCTATCGACGATCGTTGCCGTTGTCAGCCATTCGGCATAGGCCGACTGAGCGACTGCATGTGAGGGGCGCTGCAGCAGCAGCAGCAACTTGGAGCTTGGAGCTTCACGACGGATTCCATTGCGCGCCTGTCTACGAGGCCCCCAAAAAAAGTTTTCCCTCGACGTTCAAATTCTCCGGCGAATCGTGGCACAAAACGCCTCGAATCTATTTTTCCCCCCCTCTCACTCTCTCCCTCTCTTTTCTTATATAATATATTTCATTTAATTTGCGGCGCTTATCAGGCGCCAGGCCCAAAGACAATCGGTGACAATGGCTCAATCGTACTACAAATGAATGCCAACTATCGTGCCATGGCTAACACACACACACACAGTCACAGTCACACACACACACACACCTTTGAGTGTTAACGTGGCGTTGTCAAAATTATTTAGATTTCAGACTCGATTTTGGGCACTCGTCGTTACGTTATTTTAGAATGCAAGTTTGCTTTAAGTCTTATGTTAGCCAATTAATCGAAAAGATCAACTAAATAAATATGTATTTTCCAAATACTTATAAAAACGTGCTCTTGAGATCTCTGGCTGGCTAGTTGTCTTCTTGTCAAGCTCCATAAGATTAGAACTCCCTCTTATAATTTTGATGTATAGACCTCTTTTTGCCACAGTTATTCTTCTGCTCTCTCTCTCTCTCTCTCTCTCTCTCTCTCTCTCTCTCTCTAATCTACTCAGTTCTATACTTTTCTAAACTTGCCGCTCTCCCTCTCACTGTCTCTCTCTCTCCCTCTCTCTCTCTCTCTCTCTGTCTCTCTCTCTCTAAATATATATATTTCCGTATTCAATCTGCAGCTCATTCTCAGTTGGGGAACATTAATTCATATAACTGCTCATATGTTTTCTACCCACACAAAGTATATCGTACCTCCTCCTCTACCCGTCATTGTCTTTGTCTTAAATTTCTACACTTTTAGCCATTTCACAAAAAGCCAAATTAACTTGATGTCTTCAAATGTCTTGTGGGAGACGTACGAGTTTTGTGGTTTTCCAACGAAATTATACAGTTTGTAATTGCAATATGCAAATGAATATGCGCTTGTCGACTCCAAAGCACATACGTACACATGTACATACGTATATATTGGGCCACTGGGTGGGCGCAGTCAGACGACAACAGCAACAACAACAACAACAGCAGCAGCTACAACAACAACAGCAAAGTCAGCTTGACATTTGAAACTTGAAATGTAAGTGAAAGATACAATCCCAATCTGTGTAGCCGTCGCTCTCATCGACATCGAAGCCCCAGACATTGTGCACAGACAACATAAGAACAGAAAGAGACAGTGAGAAAGAGAGAGGGAGAGAGATGCAGGGAGAGAAAGAGATAGGAAGATTCCTAAACTCTCGCATGTGCACATGATAAATGACGGCCTTTCGACAATTGCCTTCGCAATCGCATTTGGCAAATCGAAAATGAAATTAACACTTCTCCCCACACATCCAGATAGAGCCCCATTGTACAATTACAATTACGATTCACAGATCTGGCAAAAGCCGCCCACAAAACAAACTGTTCGGATGCTTAATCTCCTTTCTCTGAGTCTCCCAGTCGACAATGACAGTTGCGGTCAAATTTGAAATCTTTCAACAACCTTTATATTATATTAAGTTTAATATTCTAATATATTTTACTGTTGAAAGACAACTGTATTTAATTTTATATCAAATTTTGTTAAATGTATATTCGATTTTTTAAAATCATTTATTAAATTGAATTAGATTGGATTTTTTTCAATTTTTTAAATTCTTATTAATTCTCTTTAAAATATTA